TAAATAAGTTACATATCATACTGTTGAATTTTTCAGGAAATGTTATAACATCTCCAGCTGACAGATAACTGGTGGAAAAGTAATATAGAGCCCCTTTAAAGTTGTGTGTTGATGATTTCATTCCAAGTTCCTGTGGACAACATTTAATAACCATTACCCATACACTAGTGTTCTGGGACTGAAAGATCATACAACGGAAATAAGAGACGATTTGCACGCTCTCGTAAAGGACAGCATCATTACTGCTTAATGCACCAGGCGCTGCCATGTATTGTGCTATTAAAAAGCAATTGGACAGGTGGTCTTCCTATCCACTCCACTGTGTAGTTAACAACAGCTATTGCTTCAGTGTATCCAGATGAGAGCAGATCCCTGTTAAGTCCCTAACCCATGTCTCTGCTCCGTGATGTACAAATCTGTAGCAATCAGCCGGCATGATAAAAAATGCAGAAAGCAGCTGCGTCTCATAAGGGAAGCAGCCTAATAAGGTTCATTCTTACACGTCAAACTTAATAAAACGTTTTCACTCTGCAGCACCCAAAGGAGCCCAATGAATTTAGCGTAATAAGAGAACGAATGTAGCGAGGCAAAACTACAGCGGTCCCAGGACAGTTAGGACTGCCAACCAGCCAGGGCCACCATGCCTCTGCCTCTGCAAAAGCACTGTGTGGCATTCAGGCAGGGGAAATCACATGTTGTAATTGCCTATAGAGTTCCAAATTGTTTAAATCCACAGGCCAATCTGAGACATATTTTCATTTTCTTTTCTTTCCTGTTGTATTATGGTTTTCTATGTTTTAATCATAGCTGTTGAAAACTACAGAACTGACACCTCCACCTCTTCATAGTGTAATTTCATTGAAGCAAGCAGCACATTTCCATGTTTTGTTTTTACTGTTAAAAAATGTGACATGACATTTCTGAACCCCACATCTCTGAGTAATTGCTAGTAAGCACAGAGCAGCAATCAGAGATAGGGGGTAGGTGAAAATGGCGATTATATGAACACTCAAGCCTTGAATGCAGGACAATACAGAAGAAATGAATTAACATGAACTAGAACCCTTGGGATTTGATGAGAGAACATCATTCTTACATGTTTACAAGCTCATAAAAGTTGAAGTTTCAATAATTTTACAGCAAGAATTGTGTAGATAAAACTGCATTACCACGCATTTATTTCTGAACTGGAGAATCATTATCTACCCCATATGTAGATTATAATGGCTATAAAAATGTATTGAATTCTCAATTCACGGCCAGCATATAGAGGGAATTTAATTGTTCTACATTATGAGAACTTGTGAGTTTTAAGACATGTTATAATGTTGTAACCTCATCAAAAACATACCTGGGGTTGTGTTTTGTTTCATTCACAGACATTTCAGTCAGTTTACTAGTCTGTCTACATCTCCAAATCTTAAAATGCTCTGTTCCACCTTGTGATGTCACGAAGCTGTAGTTTTCAAGTTAACAGCTACCTTTTACCTTTTGTTCAGTAGATATTGGCAATTCCAGGGCTGAAATTATCCAAATGATTGTAATGAAGATGTATGGAGTTTAACAACACAGTGGAGCACTTCCTGCATTACCACATGACATCACAAGATGGAACAGAGAATTTTCAGTTTGAGAGAAAAGCTCAGCCTAAATATGCAGGGTTTGAGTGTTAAACATGTGTAAATGAAACAAAACACAACTCTGTTTTGGATTTAGGAAACAACATTAAAACACAGATCAGAAAACAGAGTAATACGGGCCCTTTAAATATATTAATAATTCAAAATATAGTTTAACTCCAAATGTCACTTATGTTGCCAGCCAGTTAATACTATAAAATCACATTGATCTACATCTATTCAATGTATCACACACTTCTAGCCCTCTTAATGTTAGTATTTGACCTATCAGATGAGACCTGCTGTGCATTCAGATGAAGCCAAGTCCACTGCTTCAGAATAACTAATTGATGTAGTACGTTTGCCCGATACTGAGTAGATTTGCAGATTTGTTTCACCGGACATACCCTCTGTCGTCTTTATCTGGGCAGTACTCTTGCTTTGACTTGCTTATTTGACATGCAGCAGTCTTCCGATAGTGAATCTGAATTTCACTCTTTTGATCTGGACATAGTGTTTGGACAAGGCGGGCTGTAATCCCCTGGATGGAGACTTGGAGATGAAGACACAGCTCCTCACCAGACACTTTGATGCTTTATTCAGTTCATTTTTTGTTCAAAGAAGTCCAGTAGTGGCTCCTCACACCTCTCTCTCCTCTCTCCCTCGTTTTGATTGATACTGCTCTGTCTCCTAAGTCCCACATGTCATTTTTCTCTATTTCTTTTTTTTCTTTGACACAGCTCTCCTCCTCTTCTGCACTGCTTGGTATTCTAGAGCGGGAACACATGCACCATCAGATCCATCAGCTCCGATCGGAATGCCGCGCCATGACTCTGGGAAATGAAGGGAGGATGGGGGTGTAGGCGGGGGTTTATTGGGGGGTAGGTGGGTGGGGGGGCAGGTCAACGGCTCGTCCACATCCGCCTGGGACGAGAGCCACAGGCTGACAGTGAGAGAGACAGAAGAGAGAGAGGGAACCTTTTATCACTAAGCACAAACTTTTTATGTACACCGTTTAACTCCCAAATCTGTTTTCATGAGGTATTCAAGTTCTATGGTACTTTTAAAGGACAAAGTGAAAAGCACATATCTGTTGGATTCACTTAGTTATAGAGAGAACTTCATCAAGTCATTGTAACTCTTATCTATAGTTGAGTTTGTAAGTGAATAAAATGTATAATTTAATCATATGAAAATCATGTCTCAAACTGTTTATAAAAATGTGCCTGGCTTTGTTTCCATGGAAATAATGCTTTACCATATTAAAAGTATAATTAATTAAAGTCTAAAATCACTCTCTAAATTTTGTTAAATGACTATAAAAACAAATAGAAATAAAGCATAAAGAATATAATTTGTACTAACTCCTAATTGCCTTATCACAAGATGGGACCTCAAAAAAAAAAGTTTGTGTTGTGTTTTTGTTTTTTTCTCCATAAAAGTTGCATCTCATTTATTTTATCTGATTTGACAGATGTTACCAGAACACTCCCTAACAATGCAAATTTACATTTCAACTTTCAATTCAAGCTGTTCCTACCCATACAGCCATACCGAACCTGTCAACCACTGTCATATGCAACCACAAAATATATTTTAAAATCGCATTACCAATGAAGTAAATGTATTCTTAATCACAGTATACAGTATAAAAGAGGACAAATCTAGTATATTTTGTTAGGATATCCTTTGTATTTGCATAATATGATTTCTGTTGCGCTCGGTCTTTTGCATGTTAAACTGTCGTGCTGTGGGGTCTGTGCACACACAAATACCCAAACATATCGTCTCTTCTGTGTCTCTCTCTTTTATCAGCCAATAAAGCACTTAAAGCTTAAAGAGCATATTTATTACTCATACAGACATTATAGTGTGATCGAAAGAGCTGTTAGGAGCCAGTCATTGTTCCCCTGAGTCAGATATCCAACTCTTTCAGCAAAATTCAAGTCAAGATGTGGCTTTTTTATTAGTATTCTTCGTCATGTGCATTCACCAATCCTTACTATAGAAATGATACTTATCACATCAACACTATTTCTCATCTGTGAATCTGTATGCTGTTGTTACTGGCTTCTTTTTATAGCATCGGTATGTCACAGTCATATTTGAGTCCATTTGTACTACTCCTCATATAGAAACATGAAACAGCTGAAAGGGCAATGAAGATAGACTTTTCTAACTATGACTGGATAGTAAGGCAAATCCATCTGTCACGATAACAAATTTTGAAGCACGATATATTGCTACAGAGATATACTGCGATAAATGATAATATTGAAACTACTTCATGCCTCTGACATAAAAACAGAAATGCAAGATTATCCCAATAAACCATTTTTAAATAGACAGTATCATTAAGTGAGATAAGTTGCACAAATAAATTGCAGAATGAACCAATAATTAGCCATAGAAGTTAATTATTCAGCCCTCTACAGCTCAAATTTTATTGTATTAACAACAAACAGACCCCAAATGTCCCCATTTTTACAAAGAAAATGTACGCATGTTAGATACTGAGCCCCAAAATACATTGTTCCAGCTTTCATGTTGAAAGAGAAGTTGATATAGTAATGATCATGATAGGCCAAATGTGAAAAAAACAAAAACAAAAACACATATTCCTCCAAACTTTGAAGTCTGCTGTAAACCACATGTTCTTACTGACAGACTGGCACTGGCTGTGACAGACTGTGTTAGTGGGATAAGAAGAGGACAGTCCCGCTCAGACTGTGGAGTTGTGTGTTTGAGGAGCCAAGTGTCACTCAGGTCCCAGGAGGGTTCACTTTGCCCCACTGTGTCCTCCAATATGTCCTCACACAGCAGCAGAGAAGAAGAAGGCAAGCACATGTGTTTATAGGGTTTGGCAATAATAACAGACAATTAATGTTGCTATATGGTAAATGATCACATTTTTATATATAGCGTGAGCCACTGCACCAATATGCACTTGTTGTTCTGAATTTTTTGCAGTAATGATTAACCGCTCAGTTTTTTGTAGTATTTTGCTTATTGTAAAAATGGCATCAATAGCGATATAATTATTTTAATGAATGGCACACCTCTACTATTCTGTACATTTAATGTTGATACATGGACCACTTGCCTGAACAGACATAACACATTTTGGAGTTGGAGGTTCTGGCTTCTGCTTGTCTTCATGGAGATGATATTGCTTTAACTTAAATGTTCCACTGTAAAGCATTAAACATATCCATCTTGCATGTATGCTAAAAACATACCTTGAAAATCATGGATCTACCATCTATCTACATGGGGATAGATAAACTTAATGCCTCATACTGTGGACTAACATAACTCTAAGCAAGTATACGCAAGGAAAAGTCTTACCAGTTGTTGTTGTTGTTTGTGTGTTTGTTTAAGGCTGGGATGATCCGGACGGAGGAGGAGGAGTTTTACATCGAGCCTTTGGAGAGGGGGGTGGAGGTGGTGCAGGAGGAGGCCGGGGGGCACGGGAGGACGCACATCGTGTACCGGTCATCAGCAGTGAAGAAGAAACCTGTGAGTCGGGAGGCAGAAGACCACCACTACAGAGGTCAGTGCCCGGAGTCCCTCCAGTACCTCTCGGTTGACACTGAGCTGGGAGAAAGCTTTTGTCATGAGACTGGTGTTGGGACGTATGCAGGAAGAGTGTCTGAAGAGGAGTGAAGGGAGAAGAGAGGGTGTGTCTTCTTTGTGTCTCAAAAAATTTCAAAAATGCATTATTACTTTATTACATTTATTACATCTGACATAATTGTTTTGAAAGTTATAAAAGCAAAGGTAGTCATGAAACACTGGAATTGCAATTATTGACATTAAAGGTGCACTATGGAACTTTTCTGGAGGAGGTCCACCACCTGCTTGTCTCCAAAATGTTATTGCTTTTCGTGGAATGTTCCATAATGTGGCATAAATTTATCTTAATCTATGACTTGAAACTTGGCCTGATGGTACAACCTGCTTGTCTCTATTGATGCCATACTTGTGCTATACTGAGGAACATTCCAGGAAAAATAATATATCCACGGAGACAAGCTGGTATGGATCTTCAAAGTGCACCTTTAAGCACTGCTGTCCTCTCCTACTGATTTATTTTTGTATTTTTAACTAATTAGACGGCTCTCCTGAGTGTGTAGTTGCCAAACCGTGGTGTGAGTGAGGAGCAGTGACATATGCAGATCCACGTGTCACACTCTAACTGTGTGATAGAGAAACACCTTCTTTAACAATTAGCCACTGACACGTGTGTGCTTTAGTGTGGATGAGCAGTCTCGTGAGCATGTCATCCTATCATAACATTGACACTATCAATAGATTCAAAATAAAGCATCGGATGAAGATCAGACTTTTTCCTAAGGATTCATATTCATTTGCGACATTTTTGTTAGGGATGCATTGATCCAGCTTTTTCTGTTCTGATACTGACGCGGATACCTTGGCTTTAAGTATCTCCCTCTACTCGATATCAACCGATACCAATGAAGAGACTGAAGACATAACTTATTCCCAACACAAACAACATATGGAAGAAAATGTTCCAAATGTCAACTCTTCCAACTCTTACTGTAATTAGAAGACCCTGGTAAAAATACAAGTTTAATATTGTGAGATACTTTGAGCCAACACTGTCTAGTAAATCGTCTTATAACACCAATTTATAGACCAAAATGGGATATCAGCTGAACCGATATCTTAGAAACCAATATCTTGGAAGCCGATATTCGATCCACCAAAATGTTCTATATTGGCACTGATATCTGATCAGTATTGTGTTGGTGCATCCATCATTTTTGTGCACAGTTTGCTTAGTTTGATAGGGCCCTCTGCACTTACCCACCCTCACTGACACAAGTAGGACTTCTTCTTTTGCTGTATTGTGTATATGCTAGGTTTGAGCGTTATGTGGAAAATTCACACACTTATTGTATGAGAATGATATTTGATTTTGTTTTATTGTGCTATCTGGATACTGTGTGACCCTATGGCAAGCCTCTTTAGAGAAATAGATTAGCATGAACACATACAAAACAAGAAGTATAAAAGAATATAAAAGGCGTATTATGGTCTGTGCTCAAGTGGAACACACAGTACACATGTGATATTACAGTCAGGCACAAACCTTGTATCTAAAAAACCTTCACATTTCTGGGATATCTGAAAAATACTGTGTTGGTTTTGTAACTGAATATTGCTTTAACAGAGTTTATAAAAGCTTGATCGCTTCTAGGGGTTTCAGTTACTGTAGAATTTGAAGTTTATGTATTTTTGGCAGTGTTTCCCATTAATAGAAGAGACTATGGTGCCCCCCCAATAGTGTCAAATTCTCCCCTATACTCTAAAATGAACATGGACTAGACATTGGCATAACGAAATCTCAACTTTCATACATTACATTAAAAAGTACCTACACTGTACAAAAAGACTGCAAAAATATGAAATACAGGCAATACATGACATTCATACTCCACAAATAGTATGAGTAAAATTATTAATATAGAAAGTATTTTTTGCCATAGTCTGAACAGATCTATGGAAAACACTGTCTGGCATAGATGTTTAAAGGCAGCGTAAAGTGCAGCGTAAGGAGCTGTTGACCAGAAAAAAGAGTAATCCTACATATAAGTAATGTAGGCCGTAACAGTCCACTTCACTGATATATAATCAACAAAGACATGCAGATATTTATGTACAGCTTGAGTTGAGTCCATAGCAGCAGATGAGATGTGCATCTTCCTATTCTGAGCCGTTCACTGGAGAATGCCTAATAATATACAGTGAGACAGAGTTTCCATAGGAACACCCAGAAAGGACAGACCGCATCCGAGTAACACTGTTCCTGATACCGCCACGGCAACAATCCACAAGAAGAAAATATTTCAGTTATATATAAATGAATAGATTAAACTTATAGGTGTCGTGCCTTGATCGCACTTCTCCACCTGTGAACACACATGTGCACAGACAGGCAGTCAGAGCACCGCCAAGCCTACTCGCTGTTTGTTCCTTTGAATGTGCCTTTCTAATGAAGAGTGGGGTGCGGATCAATAGCGTAGGATAGAACAGGCCCGAGTGTGCTGTGCGTGTGTGTGTATGCGTGTGTGCGTCTCGTGCGCGCGTGTGTGGACAGCGTGGGCTTCAGTTCTGTGGACGTCTGGCTTTAGAGCAGGGGATTTTGATGCTAAGCTAGCCGACAGACAGATAGACACAGACAGACAGACAGGCATGCTCACAGCTACATTTGATGTTTCTTTTGTTCCTCTGCTTCTTAGCTATTCCAGACCACTACATAATGTAAACACAGGCTTACCTTCGAGCGTTGCATCAGTAGTATTACAGTTACAATGCATTCAAATGCCTGAACATTCTCTGAGAGCTTTAGCTTTATACATCAGTGACAGACAGACAAAAAATGTGCCATAAGGGCCTATATCTAGCAAAAGTTTAGCAATATTTACTCAAAAATTCTGCAAAACCTCACTGGATTCAGGTGCTATTCTAGATCAAAATGCTCTGAAATTTTAAAGGTCCTATATTACACAAAATGGATTCTTATGAGATTTAAGGCACGTTAGTTTGACTTCATCAAAAACGTAGCCGGATATGTGTTTGTTTCATTCACACATGTCTGAGCAACTCTTTTTTATTAGTCTGTCTGCATCCCCAAAGCTCAAAATGCTCTGTTCCACCTTGTGATGTCATGAAGCAGTAGTTTTCAAGTTAGCAGCTACCTTTGACCTTTAGTTAAGCAGAGGTTGATGATTCCAGGACTGAAATGATCCAAAGTGTTGTAGTAAAGGTTTATGGAGTTTAAAAACACATTTGAGCACTTCCTGTATTACCACATGACATCACAAGGTAGAACAGAGTGTATGAATGAAACAAAAAGCAACTCCAGGTATATATAGACTGCTTAATTGCAATATAGCTACTTTTCTGGTGGAGGGTCTGCCACCTGCATTTCTCCACAGACAGAGACAGACACAGACAGACAAGGCATGCTCACACCTACATTTGATGCTTCTTTTGTTCCTTTTGCGTCTTCTTTCTTGTTCTTCTTTTTCTTCTTCTTCTAGACTACTACATAATGTAAACACAGGCTTACCTCCAAGCCATGCATCAGTAGTATTACAGTTACAATACACTGAAGTACTTGGACATTTAACTTAGACGACAATGGCAGACAGACAAAAATTAATTCATTATCAATCAATCATTCGCAAAGCTGTGCAAACTCTACTTGCTTCGTTTATTAAATGTTAGGCTCATTTCCTGGCTAAAAACAGGAGGGGAGAGAAGTTATATTTAGAAAGGTAATAGAGAGAGAGAGCTGAGGGAGGACGGAGATTGATCGGTTCCTTGCATCATAAGCTGAAGAGGTGTGAATCAATATCCTAAGTGGAGAGAGCAAGCTTTTATTATTAATGTTGTCAATTAATCGCTGCGGCAATAGAAAAGGCTGGATTGCTTTTCATTTAGACGGACAAGCGTTACACCCAAACAGTCTGGCATCACATTTGAACTCTCTGTACCTGTCTATCTCTTGTGATCATTTCTTCTGCAAGCAGGCTGCTTGTTTGTGCGTGTGGTTGTGGATGGAGGGAAGGGGGCGGAGTCTGTAGTGGGGACTTTTCTGATGCAGGGTTTTCTACCTACTTGTCTCCATGGAAATGATATTGCTTTTCCTAACATGTTCCACAGTATGGCATTAGCTTATTTCCTTGGTGATATGATATGATAAGATAAGAATGCATGCTTGGCAAGGTATTTTATAGAATAAAAGACTTGTAACTGAATGAATGTGAAATAGATATGCTTAATGCAATGCTTTGGAACATTCCAGCCATTACATCTCCATGGAAACCAGAAGGTGCAGAGAGAACATTTCTATCTTTCATGTATTCAGTTACAGAGGTTTAATAAAAAGACAACAAAAAACATATTGTCGAACATTCCAGGTTAAACAAGAACATCTCCATGGAGACAAGCAGGTGGCAAACCCTTCTCTAGAAAAGTTACGTAGTGCACTTTTAAAATATAATTTATGCTTGTTAATTGTCCAAAATTGGATCTGACATTATCTTACGAGCACATTGTTGCTATGAGCAGATCAGGTACATTTGTTTCGATGCTTGTCCTCTCCCTGTTCCATTCATGTGTTTGTCTGTGAGCTGGACCAGTGTTTTTTACTGTGACGTAAGTGGTGGGCTTGAGTGAGGAGCTCGGAGCGGGGGGGTCAGACAGAGGCCACTGGTGCTAGTCACTGTCTGTTAACATCTGCCTCCCTAAAGTGTCTCTACGACGCCTCTTTCTAGTGAACATGTTGATGATGTCATAAGGGTCCTCAGAGGGGACAAAGGGGACCCAGTGGAGATAAGACTTGACAATTGAAGTGTATTTAAACTAAGGTAAAATGTTTAGAATATAGAAAAATGTTAGTGTCAATTAAGAACACATTTGATATAATAAAAAGTAAGATATCACACTGAAGATTTTCTAAAATGACTTCAAGTGTGCCCTTTACAGGGCTGTGCAAATAATCAAATTCTAATCAAA